GCTTTCTCCATCCTTCCAACCAGCCTGACTGTTGTGTTTAGGGAGAGGGGGAAAAAACAGTGGGAATGCTCATAAAACTGATTAAAAGCCTTATTAGCTCAACTATGGCTGTAATAAAATATTATCAGGGAGATAAACTCTTCGTGGGGGAAATGGCTGCTGCCGGTCTCGTCTACAGCTGAACGTGGGCAGCATCCTTGCTGCCCTGCGTCCCCGGCGCAGATAAGGGAGCAGCGCTCCCCGAAGGGACCAACCAAGCCCTGGTGCCACCGGCCTCCAAGCCCAGCACCTTCCTGGGCCACGCCACTCATTGCCAGGTCCCCTCCCTGAGCTGAGCAGCCGCTTTTAGGCAGCCCCGCACAACACGTGCAGGTCCTGCACTTAAACTGGCACTGCTGGGGGAAGCTCTGACCCAACACCCCGCACCGCCGAGGAGGGGAACGTGGGGGGTTTCCAGCAGGCTCGCGCAGGGGCACTAAATACATCTGCTTAGCTGAAGCAAATCCTTGCAGCATAAACAAACAGGGACACATGTTTATTCTTCACTCCATTCACAACATGATAAATATTTATTTCAAGTGAGCAGCTGGTTAGTTAGAACTTTGTCTAATGCTGGGTTTGATCTACCAACCCTTTGGACAAGGGAGGGGGGTTTTTTTATGTATTTATGGTCATGAACTGAGCTCCCAAAGCAGTAAGACAGCCCCCCAACAAATCTAAGCATGGGAAATATTCTGGAAGCATCAAAAGTCACAATTGGTCTCGCTTTGGGGGGGATGCAGCCTGCCTACCCACAACCGCATCAAGTCATGCTCACGGCAGGGGTGAGCGCTCCCAGTAACACCAAGGATGGCAACAGAAATACTTTCAATTATGACTTTGTCTTTTGTCTATGGGCTGCAAAACACGTGAAAATAGTTAGGCATCTCTTCACACCCTTACAGGTAACATTTTTATGAGTGCTGTTACTGGGAAGAGGGAGCACATAACAAGGACAGATGCTGAGAGCTCTTGTCTCTGTTTAGCCACGAAACTGCGCCCCTCTTACAGCACAGCCATGCCTCTTCCAGCCCCTACTTGCCACGAAAAGAGACAGTGAACAACCACTTGCAGTGAGAGAGCTGATTTAGCGCCGGGTGTTTGTCAGACCTTCCAGTGGGCTGGGGCAGCTCCCTCAGCCAGACTGTCTGCACTCTTAGCTTTATCAAAATGCTTTTCCCCTCTCCTCTCCACCTGTTTGCCTTGGCGGCTGGTCTGGCGTTTCCAGGCGTGCCCTGATGCACACCAAACCCTTGTGCAGCACTGCAGGGACGAAGCTTTTCCCTTTCCTAAACAGAGATCAAAGGGAACACGGACTTTGACTCCAGAGAGGACTCTCTGCTTTCCTTCCCCACTTTTTAATTTATTGTGATACAGCTACGAAGCCCAGGAAGAAGCAGAAGATATTTAAGGAGAAAATTCAGCTCTAGTCCTTGCCCCCCTTCGCCCTACAGCTTTACGTGCTCTGCCTCTCTGGCAGCACGGGCTCAGGCGGCGCCTCTGGGTTTCAGCACCTTCAGGTAACGACACCCGGCTGGTGGGGGGCAGCCCAACATTGCAAAGGAGCGGAGCGGGGTGTCTGTGGGTAAGAATCGCCCTGCTGCTGTCTGCGGGGCTGCACGGGGACGCCGGGGGCCTGGCTGCGGCTGGCACACGCAGCACCATCCGCGCAGCCCCGTGGGGCACCTCTCCTGCACGGGAACTCCTGCGGCGCGGCCCTGGGTGGACACATCGGTACCCAACCGGCCGTGCCTCATTAAGGTGTTTACACCATATTTACAGCAAATCGCTACAGGAACACAGGGCCTGGAACAGCGCAAGAGCAATTAGCTCTAACGAGTCTTCATAGATAATCTACCGGACACTTGTTTCTCAGTCCAACTGTAATTGCTGCTTTAGTGTCAGCTACACCAGCCAACATCCACAAAAACCCCTTTATCAGCAAAATAAATTAGTGGTTGCTGATTGCCACGTCTGCACTCTTCAGGGCAGGGGAGAGCTCTGAAGGGGTCGTTGGAAAGGCTCTCGGCAAGGCACAAGGACAGGGAAGCCACCTCCAGCCCTGGCAAGCTTCCGAGGGTCACGGGAGGACAGAGGCCCCGAGGAGGGGGGCGCTGCCCCCTATGCACCAGTGCCAGGGTGCTCACCACCGCCAGACTGGGCTGAGGTCCTCACCCACAGCTCACCCACCCCACTTTCTACAGCCTCAAGGCTCCCCCAGCAGCACGCCGGCTCCCCCAGCACCATCCCCACCCGCCGGGCTCCTGGCCCACGGAGAGCTGTTCTCCTCCTCCCGGGCTCTGAACCCCATTTCGGAACTCACTGTGCCCTATTTCGGGCCGTGGGTGTTTTACCTTCCTGCTCAGTGTGGCCTCGGAACGAGCAGGCGCTTGGTGCTGGGTGAGTCGGGGCTGGGGGAACTGGGTCCTCAGCATCAAAACCAGAGGCAGTTCAGAGCCAGACCTGCCTGCAGGCACATGCCTCCCCCCAAACACACACAGAGCCGTGCTACCTACAGACAAAAGGAAAACAAAACAGTTTCTCCTGCAGACTAGCTGGGAAGGAAAAGCAGAAAGACTGTTGTTTCTGTGGAAACTCCAGGGGGGTGCTCAGAGCCCTGCCGAGGGGCCAGCCAGGCGATGGCCAGGGCGAGGGAGAGCAGGCAGCATGGCAATCAGGCTTCTTCAAGTGCTTGGACTCGTCCTGTCCAGTCCCTCTCCCTGGAGCGGGACGAGAGGGACTGCCCAGCGGAGGGCAGGGACCGCAGCACCAGCACAGCCTCCCCGTGCAGACCAGGCACCAGCCTGCTGGTCTCCTGTGGCCGTGTCCCCTCGCTGGGTCACGGTGCTTAGCCACAGGGGAGCTTCCCTGAGCAGTGCTGGGGTGCACCCATGGCACACAAGCAGGGCTGAGGGGGTGTTTTCCTCTCCCATTCATTGTTTTTTTATCCTACTGCTGCTTTTCCCATTCTCTGCTTCTCCTGCTCCTCTACAAAGGATGCACCACCCAGTTCCCATGCTCCAGTAACTCCTGTTGCTCTGACAGCTCCTGAAACCCTGTGTTAATGCTGATGGCAGATGACAGGCAGGGAAAGCAGAAGCTCCATTTTAGGGGCAAATTCATCAAGTCTGTTTACTGTTTGCTGTGTCCCCCGTGTAGAGCCTCTGGGATCTCGAGCACTGATGCACACACATGTCTAGAAACACACTTGCTCTCTCTGGAGCCTCTCCAGTACCGATGAGAAGAGGGAAAAGGCAGGAGCAGTGACAGTGGCTTTCAGCCACGCCTGCACATGATCCATGGCGACCGAGATCAGGGGGACACTTGAAGCCTTTTGCACCAGAACCGTGTAAGCCACGGACAGGGTCTTTCACGGCAGCATCATTCCAACAAGACCCCGGCACTAGCGCCATCAGAGCCGCAGCACAGTCCTGTTGCGGGGAGGAGCGGTAGCAGCAGAAGGCAGGGCTGTGCCCAGAAACCACGTGCTGACGGTGCCGAAGCCCCCGCACAAGAAGCGAGGAGGAAGACACCTACGATGCCCTCCTTGTATAACCACCGTGCGTTATTTCACACGCCATGAATCACAAGCCACTTCTGTTGCCTCCGGGGGCAATGCAGCCAAGGGGACTGGGACTGTTATCCTCCCTGCGCTCCTGGGGTCTGACACTGCTGCCTGGGATCAGGGAAGCTTTACCTGAGCTATTTTCTCTGCCTCTGCAATAGCAGGCCCACGGCCTCGCAATCCTCTCAGTGAGCTTTGCCTGCCTTGAATTAGATCAGGAGGCCAAGCCACTTCTCTGTCCAACAGATGGCAACTAAATCTAATCCAGAAGCCCTTCCCAGGCAGCAGTGGCAGCTGCAGAAGCAGCAGAGCCTTGTGATTCCCCCTAAGGTGAGGAGCTCACATCTCCTCAGCACCGCGAAAGCTTTGGAAATCTTGCTCTGCCCCAGCTCCCCCCTGCAGAGTTCAGGGAGATGTTAACAGAGAAAAACGCTGACGCTTTAACTCCTGCGGTCCTGACACTGGCACTGCCCACCACGGCTGTGCCCAGCCACCTGGGGACCAAGGATGCTCCGCAGCAGGCAGGTCACACAACTGCACATGCCACGGGCCAGGGACCTCAGCGCTTGCCTGTGCTCTCCAGTAAGGGGGTTTCCAGCTCTGCTCACCCTGCCTGTACCCTCACAGATCACAACCAGGAGTAAATCCCACTCTCTGCCTCCTCCTGGCCTGCTTCTTCGCAAGACCTGGCAGGGGATTCCTAAGCACGAAGGATGTTCACAGACAAACCGATCCACAAAACCTGAACTTCCACCACTTTCAAGCTGGTCGGCATCAACCCCGCAACAAGCACGGCCCTGGGAGCACCCCAGGACCCCTGGGCTTTCCCACACTGCTGCCCGCTCGACACCTCCCTTCCAAAAGCATCAGGACAGACCCTGAAGACGGAGAACCGATTCAGAAACCCACGTGCCCGCAGGCGGACCTTGCTCTGACAGTCTCCAGAGGCTGTTCCCTCCCGTTCGGCTCCCGCCGCGCTGGGTGCTCAGCACAGCGACAGGGAGGGAGCGCAGCAGGGAACCCGCTGCGTTCCCACCGGAGTACCCAGCCCACACAGGCTGCTTAGCTTAAGCCAGCATTGCTTACACTTCATCCCTGAAAACTGCCTTCGTGTTCACTTTCACATTTGTGCCCGTTTACAGAGGAAGAGCCTGGTCCCCGAGCCTCCAGAAGGAGAGAAAAATGACTCGGTTGGTACCTTGTGGTCCCACCAACCTCTGTGCTAATTAATCAATTTGCACTGCACAGGCTACCAACCTGTTTGTAATTAAAAGCGAAATTAGAGTGCACTAATGATGGCCAGGCCTCAAGCCCAACTGATGCGGTGATCCCAAAACACAACACAGGAGTGGCTGACGGTCTCTGGTGGGACGTTATGGATGACAAAGGGTCTTACCTTGGCCTTGCCCGTACTCTGCAGGATGTGAACCAGTGCAGACGCCATCTCCTCTTTGTTCTTCACGCTCAGCGAGGGCTCCAGCACCGAGCACAGCACCATGTAATTGTTAGTGATGTACTCGGCAAACTCTTTGTACATCTCCATGGGAAGAATGCTCATACTCTGGTAGCGCGACTTGATGCGGATCATGGGCCCCGGGGACTTGCCCTTCCCGGGGTTGGGGCTGACCACTGGGTACCATTTCTCTATAAACTGCCGTCCCGTGACAGAGCTGACAGGGATGTTCACTTGTCCAATGAAATTGGTCTTGTCCTTCTTTTTCTTCTTGTCAGTCTCTTTGTATAAGTGCACCGTAATGTTTTTGAGTGATGGGAGGTTATTAAATTCAAAGTGCTCCCCCCAAAATACATTATCAGTTTTCAATTTACAGGTAGTTCGTGCATAAAGAACGTCATCCAGGCATAATTCACACAAGTACTTTTTCTTAGCTGGCAGGTCCTTGGCTTCAATAATCCATAACTTCAACATATTCTCTACCCTTCTGCTGTTGTCCTGAAAAAAAGATGCAAAGAAAAAAAAGGTCAATAAAAAACCCACAAAGCCAAGCGCAACAAAACTGGAGATATGAGTTAATTATTTCGGATGCGCTAAATGAGCGGAGGCTTAATTACATTTTATTTTAAGGAAATACTGGCTCTCAGGAATTTGCATAATAACACCACTTATGTTAATTTTCCAAATATCACCGTGCTCTCCATGTCTGTTGGTGCCAATTAATAGAAGGAACAAGGAAGATAAATCCCCTCCAAATCATAAATGTACCATTTCCCACTCACTGCCAAGAGGGTCTCAGAAGAAACCAAAAGCACCTCACTGATCATTAACGGCTTCTGCAAAACAGAAGCTGTGTCTCAGGTATCTCACAGCCACCTCCTTTTTTTAGTACAGCTGCTTCACAGCAGCACTGGAGTTACGTTTTCTTTACTGTAACGGAGCAACAGTGAAGGGATCTGAACGCACACCCCGGGATCACCTCACCCATGGCTCCAACACAACCGCCTCCGGCAGGGAAAGAAGCATTTACAAAACCTCATGATATTTTAGGCAGAAGTCCAGAGCACCCAACTAAAACAATCGAGAGGAGTAACAGGAGACAGACTGAGTTCCACAGGAGAAACACTCCAATTTAGAAATAGAAATTTGGCTCGGATATCATCTTTTAAACAATAACGGAGCAAAGGACACTGTGGATCTTTAAGAGCTCCCCAGTGATGCTGACCTCATCCTGGAAGAACATCCAGGGGCATTTGTTGCAGGAGTGACTTGAACAATAAATCCCTTTCCGCTGCTAGGGATTCTGCAGTAACCTGTTTTGTTTGGAAACCCCTCGCTGAAACAGCAACCACGGCTTACTCTGCTCAGCCTAGGAGTCTGGGCAGGAACATTTCTGCTGGAAGTCCACAATGGGGTACTGTAAGCTCAGCAGTACACACAGGAACTATACAACAACACCGAATTCCTGACAGAAGTATCCAGTCAGATACTGAGAGTTTATTGCCTAGGAACTCAAACAAAGCTGGAAAGTTAGCCATCAGTTAACGGCACGTTTTGAGATGAGGGCACAGCTCCAGATGTATTTCCACTGGACACTGCATCTCACAGCCATAGTGACGTGCCCAGCCCCAACTCACATTCCCGGGACTTTTCCCATGGTAAATGTGACCACGCAAACCTGACACAGCTCTTTCGGATACCACTACCAGGCTGCTGCACTCGGAAAGCACTGGAGTCACTCAACTCCACATGCAGGAACACGCTGCTAGAGGCAGAAGTCCACCTCTCCCCTCACTGCCTCCTGTTCTGATATCGAAGGAAATCTTTTCGACTGACATTTGGCACTGAGCTGGGAACAATAAACTCCAACACAGAGGGCTCCTTTAGCAACCCGCCAGGCCTCGACCCAACCTGGATGCAGAGTTACGTGGCTTTGATGGCAGGAATGAATTCACAGGATCTCATCATTTGTGTCTTCTCTGATCAGCAGAAAAAGACTTGTTGATTGAGCTCATCAGCTGTGAAATCCTGCAGCTGATTAGTCCTGATCAATCTTTGTTAGCTAACCCCAGTGCAGAGAGGGGGGGAGCAGCTGCAGGATTTATTTTAGGATGCACTTAGTCTTACTGAGCCACAAAACCACACGTTGGGTGTCCCTGTGTTCTAGTGAAGCGAAGGATTTGTTTCTGTAGATCCCAGAGGGGATGACTTTGCCGTCTCAACTGACTGCAGAAGGGAAAGCCACGTTCCACTGCCGCCCCAGAGAACTCACTGCGATGGGCAGCTGAGCTTCTCCATCACTGAAGCAGACACTGCGAGTACTACCAGAGCCGGGAAGTGTGATATGTGAACTCCTCAGACTACTCAGTCTTGTGACTGCGCTGGCAGCTACCTGACATCTGTGCCAGAGCTTTTGGGAGGTGGGAACTCCTACGTTAAGTGGCACATATCATCAGTAACAGACAAGACTAAAGATTCTTCAGCTCTGATCAATTCTTAGCAACAGCTGAAGCAGCATGTGCCGAGAAAAGAGGGGAAGAAATAATTGGCACTTGCCTGTAAATATAATTGTGGAAGAAAGCAATATGGAAAAAGACTGACCCATAGTTACACTTACTCACTAAAATGACAATACGTCCCCTGCTGCTACTATGCACTGGGCTATAAAATGTAATAACGAGGAACTGAGCTATAACAGAGGCAATTCCTCAAAGCTGCTACCTTATTTGGGTGCACGGCACGCCGCAGGTTTTCCATCCATTTATCTCGCTCTGCTGCAGAACGACACGAGAAGCACTTACTTCCTGATGAAGTCGTCACCTACAGGGAAAGGAACAGGATTATGTCTTGACCAGCACACTGCAGACTGTGATTTGGGGGGAGAGGGGGAGCTAGGAAACATGCTAGTGGATTACTTTTTTTTTTTTAAGTAAACAGCTTTACCCAAGCATGAAGCAACAGCCCCTAAGGCTGGCGGAAAAACAGGGCAACTCTGTATGTCACAGAAATAATCATGGAAGCAAATTCCAATTACTTCTCCTCTTCCACACCAGAAAACACTAGATAATGGGCCCCATGCATGCGACGCTTTAAACCACCAAGTTCCACAACTGAGAGACTGCAAATCCTTAGATGAACTGAAGATAAATCGCAACCGCTTGGCATTCCTCCAGATTCAGCCCAAAGCTTGTGATAGGAACAACCCATTCCTTGTCTTCAGCAGAATATCAGGCCTGGGAAGGCTGGTTTCCTACCTTCCCCCTTCGTGTCCTGTTGCTTCTGAAGACCATGCTGTGAAGAACACGGGGACAAGTATATACCCACCACTCCTGGCAGCTCACAGCCCGGCCAGAGGCGCTCCTGTGCTCACAGCACCTAGTCCCCAGCTGGGGAGAAGCAGACTGGTGCTCCAGGACCTGGAGACGGCCAGTGAAGTGCTGCTGAGCCCTCCTCTCACCTCTCACACTTCCAGTATCACTCCAAGGGATCTTTCTGCAGTATTTGTGTGACTTTCTCTGGCGACTGGGATTTCATAGCCAGGTTTTGAAGAAGAGCACTTGCAGCAGTGACATTCCCAGTGCTGCAAATGCCCCTCATTCCTCACCCCATCCCTGCTACCACGTGGAAACTCAACCCTGTTGAGCGCCCACTGAAGCAACCCCTGCCCAGCAGCCCCAGAATGACAGGCACCAAACCACCACGCCACGCTTCCTTGGCATCAATTATTGTCTAAAAGGCCAATAGGTCCCTCCTCCTTCTCACATACACGCATTCCTCGAGCTGCTCTCTCCTCCGGGCCCTGCTGGCAAGCTGACAGCCCGTGACCGTGGTACCACAGCTCCGCACTGCCCACGAAGCCCTCTGCCAGCCGCTCTGCCCTTCTTCGCATTTGCTGCTTTTGGTCACGTCCAGCAATATTCTTTACGCGCATCTCTGCTTGCAGGCCAAATGGACCTGGCTAGTCCTTTAAATAACTCCCCTCTGAGCTTCACGTCCACCAGTCTCAAGCTGCAGAACTACTTCTGAGTACTTTATCATCTCGCAGTGTTTGTTTACACGCTGCACACTGGGTTATCTGCTTCTGGGAGACACAATCTCCTTTAATTTCATGTATCTCCCAGAAGCCTAACCTGTTCTTACAGCAGAGCTGGCACTTGCTAAGATCTGTCATTAGCTAACCTCAATAACGAGTTGAACACATCCCTTCCTTTGAACACAGACATTTTCTAACCAGGACAAAATGAGGAGAGGCCTATCCTGTCTTTATACAGCAAATGCACGAAATCTTCCAACCCTTGATATCCCAGGAGCTCTCTCCTTCAGACAGACACTCTTCCCTGTCCTTACAAGCTTTTATCCTCTGTCCTGTAAAGCTATATATTCTTCTGAGCACAAGGTATCTTCTGTTTCCAAGAAGTCTCCATATCAGTAGGCACAGTAGTATGATCTTTCCAGATCCTTTCACACTTCAGTGTATTTCCAGATTCTTCAAAGTTTCTGGCCTGCTTCACCTCCCGCTCGCTGCTGCAGATGCTCATGTGAACCTCCGTCCCTGAACCTTCACAAACGGACTTCTGGTGGCACAAGAGATGTGTCACTTGCAAGACTGTGTCCACGGCATGTGATCCCTACGCCTTGCTCTGCCAGAGAGTACGGCAGTTTTGCATCTCCATCCTTTTCTCAGTAAGAGTTCCCGCAACAGCATTCAAGCCGAGCACAGCCATGCACCTGACGGTACCGACACCTACGAGAAGCAACGCACGGCTGTGTTACTGTCACCACGGTGCTGCACCATCTTAACAGGGAATTACAAGTACAAAGATCCCAGAAGTACCACCTAGAAACAGTTTTTAAGATCAGAACTTAGTGACCTAACATGGAAGATGCACAGCAAACGAGCCCAGATAGCTCCCTGGTGGCTCGATCGATGCAAGTTTCTAAGGCTTCAAAACCATTCTTCAGACAAAAACCTAACAATCCAGCACCTGAGCCCTGTCTGATTTGGCCCATCCAATTCAGCTGCTGGAGACTAGAAATTATCCATGTTCAGGTGCAAAACATCAAAGTCCTGATGCTCCTGGTACGGCCACGCTGCCCTGCAAGGGTTTCTGCACGCTCCCAGTGACGTTCTGACTAAGGGCCACAAAATTCAGTCCTCACCAATTGCTTAGAAATCAGTTAATAAAGGCAGAATAGGTCAAACACACCTTTCAGTAAACTATACCATTAGTCCATTGCCTCAAAGGCCATTTCCCATCTAGCTTTCTGTTTAGCTCTTTTGTTTTGATGGGAGTTTGGTGTACAAATGCATTTGAAAACAATGTTCTTGTAGCTAGAGAATTTGGTAGGAAACTTGGAAGCTCTTCCACGAAAGAGAATTATGACTTATTTGATTGCTGTTGAAAAATGCTCTGTTAAAGACAAGTTCTCCTTGGTGACACACACGGATCCCAGAGCTGCCTAGAGGATTCATATCCAAATAAATAAGCATGCAATTTAGCTGTCCTTCTACTGACTCCTTTTATTAAATGTCAGTTTTTTACCAACTACCTGTTAGGTTTAACATTTAATATATTTTCTTGCCACACTTAAGTCAACATATTATCATCGAGTTATCATGGTAAAATTTATGATTCAATTCCAAAACAATTACTGATTAACTAATCACTCAAAACCTAAAAAACCCGTAACTGTCATACTTAAGTGAGAGACAAGGAAAATCCTCCCGTGTCAGATATGAAGCCCTCTTGAACTGATGGGAGTTGAATGTCGTATCTACCATGTGTGACCAAAACTGTAATTTTCCCCAGATCCTCAATAACACCCAGCTTTGAGCTCTGACCTAAACATCATATGGCTTTAATGATCTTCATGAGATATTAATTATCCTGATAAAGAGAGCATTCTGGTCTCATCAAGATTTTGGATATGCTAGAATACTATTAATGTACAGGATAAACTCAATTAATAAAACCCATTAATTTCTAAAATGTTACTTATTCACATTCATTATCCACAGTCCTCGGATGGGTGATCCCTTAAGTCAGAAAAAATCTTGTCATTTTAAGAATGTCTGAGGTGCAGCACGGGTTCCTCAAAGCACACTTGAAGGAATCTCCCTGGAGTAACAACAGAAGACGGTAATCGAGCTACTGAAGCTGCGGCACTCAGTGTTCAGAAGGTTTTACGAGGAAAAGTTAAGGCTCGAGCTGGTAAACACCCCCATCACCAAGGGCAGAAGGGCAAACCAGCGCTGCCTGGGCCAGCCCCGCAGACCCGTGACGGCTGCTCAGGGCATCTGAAGGGCCACGCGAGCACCGGCGAACATTTGCTCAGCTGGACTAAATTTAGTGAGGCTAAATTTAGCTCCGCTAAATTCTCCCTTGCTCAGGCAAGGCCAGGATGAGGCAACGCGGTTTCAGTTGGATTGGAGCAGGCACAGTTTCCCTTTCTCCCGCTCCGCGTCCCCCAGCGATGTCCTGCGACAGCCCGGACACGAGCTGCGCAACGGGGCACGACTCCGGGCTGCCGAGGCCGGAACGGAGCTCTTCAGCCTCACTCCCCTGCCCGGCCCAAGCCAGCAGGACCCACAAAGAGCAGAGCCAGGAACAGGCCCTGGGGGGCTGGACTCGAGTCTCCTTTACCGGACCGCGCTGCCCACTGTATATTTAGCACACGCAGCACATGCAGGGGCACTGGATGACAACGCTGACTGGGAAGTTTTATAAGGAGAAAGAAGACAACGTTGAGTAATTTTTTTCAAAAATCAATGGAGAAAACAAGTAACAACTGACTGCCAAGCACTCAGCGAGTCAAAAAAAAAAAAAAAAGCATTTTAAACAAGTTTCGTAGAACGAAGCAAGCAGAAAAAGCTAAATGCAGCATTTGCAGAAGCACCGCATTACTGCCGAGTCTCCTCGCCCCCAGCAGAGCCCAGGTGAGGGGGGAGCGGCGCTGAGCAGCCACCTTCGGCACGTCTTAATGCAGGTCGGCCGAGCTAAAGGAGAGGAACAACGGCGCTGCACCTCCGTACGGCCAGCTGCCGCCGAGCGAGCCGCTTGGTTTTTTCCACTGCAGATGGCTTTGGCACCTCTCGCTTTTGTCTCCGTTTGGGTGCGCTGCCAGCTCCCTCTCTGAACCTGCCCTCTTCAGCGCATCTCCATCTGCAGCCATGTCAAACCCTGCCATCTTCTTCTCCGGGCCATGAGGCTGCTGCTGCAGCTCGGCCGAGGAGGACCTGTGGCACACGCCACGTGCACGTCCACAGCCCCACCACCCCACCGCGAGGAGAAGGTAGTTTAGAGCCGCGTAAGGCCGGCGCTGCCCAACAACAGCAAGGCTTCGCTTCTCAATTTGAGACGCGAACTTGGCCGCTCCTGACAGATCGCCCTAGAGAACAGATCCACCACACCCTCAAAGCGCAGGGACAAGGCACGGTTACCACCCGGCAGCACCTTCCCAATCCACTGTGCACAGAATATCTTGGTTCCCTTCGTCTCCGCGATGCTGGCAGGCCCTTCTCACTTGACATTTCTTGGCCAGGGCTCCTTTTCCAGGACATCCGCCGAGCTTCTCACTCTTCCATGTGCCCACACACAGCAGTGCCACGGCTCTTGCCCATCAGCTTCAGTTTTGCTTTCAGCCTCGTGCAGACTTCAAGCAGAGCTCTTCCAGTTCCAGGCCACAGGAACCACCACAGGTTTTACTGCTCTTTGCTGAGCTCCCGCTAAAGGGTGGCAGCAGTCCTGGCCAAGCCTTGTCCGCACTTTCACATGAAGCAATGCTCAAGGACTCAGGATCACAGCCCACAGACGGGACCCTCAGGACATAACGATAACTGAAGGCGACTGAAGGCGACATTCAAGCACTGAGGAGGAGAAGACGCTTGTGGGGCTCTGTAGCTCGGCTTTCACTGTCGCCTGACATGCAGAACCACGTGATGAAGTTGTTTGTGCCAATGCAGGTGGGGGTCCGGGGGGGCCAGCAGCAGCCGTCCAGCCCGTCCCAGCACACGCTGCTCCTCTACCCAGGTGCGAGGGTTGCCCAAAGGCGACGCTACCCTTCGCTTCCCTGGGTGGTACCTCAGTGCGTGGTGGACTGCGGTCACTACCTGCTACCCACCAGGGGTCCTGGGAGACCTGCACACGCATTTCAGTGCTGAGCTCACTCCGAATTTGAAAGAGGGTCTCTGGAGATACAAGACCAACGCAACAATACGCCATTTAGGTCTCACCTCAGTCCTTCCCGCTGGAGCTCGTAGATGAGTAACCATCAGTTACAAATCAATGTCCCTTTTGTTTTCTGGCATTCTTCCTTTCCTCTGCAGGATTTGCAGAGCAGCAATTAACATGTTCTTTTTTTTTCTGTATGAGTCTTCTTTATCCAACTCACTTAAAGACAAAATTTTCTTCCTCCTCAGAAGTGCATGACTTGTGTAATTTCCCTCTCAGACAACTTTCTACAAGTACTGTTCATATCCCTTCCTCTGCTCTTGTGCGCTGAACAGAATTGGTAAACAACTCTTATATTATGGATGTCACATCTATTTTCCATCTAGCTTCATTTTATCTTTCTTGAGTGGAATGTAATAGAGGCCATATAATTTACAAAACTATTCTCCTCCTGACCTGCTGCACTTGCTCAATTCTACAGAGAATGAACAGCACTGGAAAATTTATACCTCAGCCCCCTTCAGAGTTTATGTTTGGGGCTATTTTTTTGTCAGACCGTTTTGTGTTACCTGCTTATATTTTAAGAAATGGATCTTTTAACTCATTTCCTTCAAAGTGTGCTAATTTCAGTAAAGAAACACAATCTCCATCTCCCCTGTCTGACTCCTTTTGGACACTGACAAGGCCATTTTCACCTAGCCCTGCCCAGACAAGGAAAGCCTGCAGTCCCACCACCCCCGACAGTACAATCCAAGCATGGATATACCGTTTATCTGCTCTTCTATGTCGAAGTACTAACAGGTTACCTTCTCTTCACAGAAACACAAGTATTGACCACCTTATTACTGTAAGAAAACCATTTCCCAGTTCTATATCCAGCCACTGCCACGAGCAATAATACTTTGCCATCCATGACGCGGGACAAATGATTCCCAAGAGACACTCCACTGAATTATCCAACTACAGACCGGTTTGTACGTGTCCTACTACCTCCCACTAGTACAGACCTAACCACATGTCATAACAGATGTCAAAAAAAAATTGAAATACTCACAGATTTTTCTATTTACCCAAACAAGCGAAGCTTCAGTTTTCTAGAGAAAGTCCTCAATACGCCCACTGACAACAGCAGGCTATCTTTGTGACCACGTACAAGGTCTTTCTGAACACTGAGGGGAGATTAGCACTTTCCAATACCTGTATAAGCTACAAATCTATGCTCTGCTAATACACAGCCTTAAGTAGTCCAGCACCTGTGCCGGCAGCAAGCTCTGCTGCGACAACGGTTACAAGGCAAACAGCTCATTGCTCTGATTTTGTGGTTATGATCCTCCTTGGAAAGATGGGAGTAATTTTCTGCCTATGAAATGGTCTCTGTGCAGCAATTTAGAGCAGAAACATTTTATAACAGCGAGAGCCCAAGATGCAAGCCCACACCTGGCTCCCCAGTCAGCCCCATCACACGGCAGGAACGGCCCCCAGGACGGACAGAAAGGCTCCTTACCTCAAAGCAATAGTCTTGTCCCAGGATGCTGCTGTGGACTGGCTTGATGACCACTTCTTCCTCCATACTGAGATCCAGAGCCTCAACAGCACTACTGGGACTGAGCAAAGACTCGTGGGAGCGCGATTCTTTCAGCCTCGGCATTAGATGGGATCTAGAGGAAAAATGGAATGGTATCAGTGGATGCTTTCCGTCCCAGAGAAATCATTTAGTCCATCTGTTAGCAACAACTGCAGAATATTCCTGGGAATTTTTCGCCACGAGTTAACCGAGGGCCCAGAATAGCAGGGACTGCTACACTGTCCCATTTATCATTCGGTGAGCAGGTTCTATTACAGGCTGTATGTTCCATAAAAATGGGTTTTCCACACTCGGACGCAGTCAGGACTGCATTAGTAGAGGTTTGCAGACTGCGGGTCCCTGCACAGCTGAGCGTGCCGTTCAACGGCCACCACACGCCGCGTGGGACCTTGCAGGTGCACAGCAGGGAGGCCGGCTGGCCCCAGCACCAGCCACTGGGCTCGTCAGTACCGCAGGCGGCTCCGCAGCCCCCGGTGCTGAGCTCCAGCGGAGCTGAGCACCGACTGCCAGCACAGGGCTGGGTTTGCAGGCGCGTGGGAGATCCCAGTAGCATCCTACTTCATTTCGTGCTGTTTTGCAGCACCCAGTCCCTACTGACAGAAGGAAGTTACCTGCAAACGGGGAGGAATTAATGACAGATCCTTCAGGAACCCCAGGCCTGTGTTTGCTCACGGCATGCAGAGCGTGCCCGGGGAGGGGCTGGCATCGCCAGGGCAGACGCCACCCCTGTGCGCAGGGACCCTCCTCCCCACCAAAATGCACACACCTGTACCACGGGGGCAGCCGGTGTCGGGATCCGCACTCTAACCGACAACCCGAGGGCTCGTGTGGTCTCTTCAATTGTTACACACATCCCCGGGATGGGGACAGTGTGGAAAATAAGGCCATGATAGCCCTATCGATCGATCTAAATGCTCTGGAGTCCCACTGGCAGCATTTAGCAGCAGGGAGCCCACAGACAGCAAGCAGCACACCATTTTTGAGACAGCCAATACAATCAATGGTGCTGTAACTCTTAAAGCAAAAGCAGAGCTCAAGGGGAAAAAAAAAAAAAAAAAAGGAAAGAAAGCGAGGTACTCCCAGGGAAAACACAGCAAAACTGTAAAGTGGCAAGGGAAAAAATAACTTGAGAGCAAAGGGAGCAGTTGCCTTCTCTATAGACTGCACCACATAAAATGTTCCTACACCAGCCAGCTCATAAAAGCTCTGTTCCCAGTAACTGACCTTTAAAACCTCTGGCAAGCACTTTAGGGTCCTCCAAAGAGACCATGTGTCCCTCTGCCTACAAAGAGCGCACGACGCCTTCTTCAAAGGCACAGAAGGACAGAAATAAGGGGAGTCTGAGATATTCTCAGCATGATCTTTTACAAGTGAAACAACAATGCTCCCAGTATACTCTCAGGCTGCTTTGTCTGCATTGAGTTTTGCTGTTCTCTCGAATAAAGCTGACCAAAACACAGAGAAATGTCAATAGTGCATGCAAAATTCATAGCTTCCAGTGAATCACACGCCAAGCTGAATCTAGAAAACAGCCAAAGGAGATTCTAAGATAAACAGCAGCAGAAGATAAACAGGTGCTTCTCTAGATCTGCCATTAAGATTCCTGCCATGGATGAGCCCTCAGGTGATAACAGATCAGCCCACAGCTGGGTCCTCCAGCTGAGCACGCTAAATGGACAGCTCTGGAAGCTGCAGGCCACCCCTCCTCGCCGGTGGCACCGCAGCACAACCAGCCTGGGGACAGGCCGCCCGAGGGCTCAGCGACAGCCCGGTCTCCAGACACTTCTGGGCATCTGCCGAGGCTGGCAGCCAGCACCAGCTGCGGTCGGACCTGTTAAGGCGTCTGCAGAAAAACAGACTACGACACCACGATCTTTTCTTGGGGGACAACCACCAGCCCTCAGATGTTAAAAGCCCTGGGTCAGCGCAGCCCCGTGCTGGATCAGAAGCGGTGGCTTTGAAGCTCTATCCTATTAGCGATTCTCTAAACTGCCCACTCACCCCATATCTCTATGGTGAATAAATTGATCTTTAGGAACTGAGCACAGTCATTTCCCAGTACTTTGTGGCAATTTTACACTATTTTCACAGAAAAGGGTCCATATCCTTTTCCTCTGAACGATACTGTAAATTAACTCTAATACAGGCAGACAGATCAAGTTACCTCTGGATGCTGAGCGCACAACTAATATCCAGCAGCTCCAGAACTCACAATACAGACTGCTCACCAAGCCCTGATAAGCCCAGAATCAAGGCTTTTACAGTAAATCTTATTTCCATATTTTACAGGTGAAATTATAAAAGGTACATAACCAAGCCGAGACTCGGTTCTTGTGTGCACAAGTATAAATATTGATAACCTAAACCCGTAACTCAGGAACTGTAACACACAGAGGTACATCACCGAGCTGGACTGCCTCATGCTGGTCTAAGAATTTTTGTTAAAATTAGAACAAAAGAAGGCTATTTTTCATTTAAAACTACTGCAGCTGCAAGGCCACGGGCGGGAGTGCAGATGTGCAACACTAAGAATTACCAAGGGGGAGCTTCTCAGGACATACTACGCTCTCACCAGATTCAGCACATGCGTATCTACATCCCTCCACTCTCCGCCGTATCCCTCTGGGAATCCTAAAACTAATGGGACTTTTTTTTAGGCAGGAGGTTATTTTTTGGGTTCTTGCCTCGGCAGGACCCACTCCCATGATGTCTTTTACTCCTCAGCAGCTGATCAGATCCAGCTCAGGTCAGTAACAGAAACATTTTTCACCAGATGCTGCACTGCACGGAGGGAGCGCTGCAGGTCTCAAACCAGCCCTAAAAGGCCCAGCAGCTGTCTGTGTATCCAGAGCTAAGTGCAGAGATGTCATTAATTAGAGACTCTCGTTTGAAATCTCAGCGGAAGGGATGAGAGATCTCTCTGCCAGAGGCAGCCCTGGCAGAGCAGGATGAGCGCTGCCGGTGCAGAGCCTCCTCCCAGGGATGCTGCCCCCATCCCCACCCCAGAGTCGCCCCGATTCTACGGCTCTTAACCCGCAGCAGCCCAGCACAGTCCGGGGCACCTGCAAATGCCCCGGAGTGTAAGAAGGACTATACACCCCCAGCCTTCAAAGGACACATGGTCCTTTCATTTTAATACCCAGTTCTAGAGGAGAGAGCATTTCTCATGTCCTTTGGTAAGGAACACGACATCTGCAGCAGGAGTCCATTTACTGGAAGATGTTTGCAAGTCCCTGTCGCAGCTCCCACAGACTTCCCTTTGTATTAACAGTAAGAAAAAAGTCCTGCTAAGGCCATAAGCTGCTTCCCTGACTCGGAGGGTGAGGGCACTCCTCCTACCGAAAGGACCACTCAGCCTTCCCCGCTTTGGGCAGGGAGAACACAAACCTGCCGCGCACATGCCACAGAGATAATGTCTCTGTCTTGTACTGTGTCAGGCCATAGCAGGCCTGGAGGACTTTGTCCAAAGACAATTTACTGGGTGAGGGCTGGCAAGGGCTAAAAAAACCCAACCCAACAAATCCACTCGCTGATGGAGAAGTGCAGAGCCATTAAGCACACGATGTGATGGCTCGGCTCAACCTGAAACGGGGCACCAGGCACCAGGGTGGCTGTGCTGTGTGCCCCAGCTCCTGGGGAGACCCGTCTCCGTTCCCTCCACCTCTGCCCGAGATTCACCACCCGCAGCCAGGATTTCCTCCTGGGGAGGCAGGCACGCTTCTATCAGGAGATCCCAACAACCTGATGTCCCCGAAGAAGTGTAAGGATCCCCTGGGGCAGAAGCAGTGATCCAAGCAGGAGATGGATACTCCAGCTCTGCCTGCTTCCACCCAGTGTGGGCAGAGAGCACCATCCACAGCAACAGAGGTATCAGAGTCCCTGTAAACTCGTGCTCTTCCTTAGCCATCCAACATCCTAACAGGCAAACTCACCTGGAACAGGATCTGCTTCCTGTGTACATACACTTCCAAGATGACAGAGGTACTTGGTTCAAATTCATCTCTCCGCCATCACTTTTCAAAACACTGCCTGTGGGGCCATCCAATCTCTGGCTGTAATAACTCGCTGTGTATTCCAGGTACCATCCCAGCTTATGTGAGCTGATCAAATTCAGTTCCTACACCTTTGTTCTAATACAGTGGGAACGGCCAGCCGCCCAGACACATCTCACAGCGGGAAACCCTCTTTCCAAACAGCACAGTCAGTTCTTTTTGCCACGGGCCTTACTGTAATCCCTTTCTACTTGCCTAAAGTTCAGTTGAAATGAAGCGGGGGGGAAAAAAAAAATCTCATAAAAGACCACATTAGTTCTAAAGAGAAATAACATTACTGCTACCGGCGCTGACCTGGAGAGTCCTACAAAGAGGCAGCCAGTCTCTCGTTATTAAAGAAAGAGGTTTACTGCCCAAGAGCAATGAGAGGATTGTGATTCTAAATAATGAAAGTCATAAAACATTACCATGTGAAGGGATGCTTTCTTCACAGGCAGCCAGAATTAGGGACATCAAGTGCTGTCAGGCTGTGACAGCACACCTCATCTAACCAGGACCTTGTGGACCACAGCGAAGACTTTGTGGACACAGAGAAACAAGCATGGAGGGACAATCCATTCTCTCCCCATCAAACTTCAGGGCTGGATTTTGAGCCATGGAAGCAGCAACCATCTGTCTGCAGCAGCGGCTGGGCAGAATGACCGGAGGGACTGCCCAGGAGTCCAGGCTCCATGTTCTTTCAAGAACAAAGATACTCTGCTGAGGCTACAAGGAAGGAAAAAACGTAGGGCCTGTCTACACAGAATTATTCTGGAATAGGTCTTGTGTGTTTAAACTCATACACTCTTATTCCAGAATTGCTTTCCTGTGAGGACAAGCCCTCAAAGGGGCAACCCCATCGGTTTTCATTTCAGAACCTCACCTGCCTGAAACCACCCAGCTGCTGCTTCTGTGGTTTTATGATGAAAATTTTCCTGATATTTTTGAGACAGAAACAAACAGGGAACCTGGCGGGGTAGCTGCAGAGGGATGGAGCAGAGACAACATGTAACACTGAAACACGGGGAAAAAAATAGAGACTTT